GGCTTACAGTTTGCTGACCTTTGGAATACAACTACTTAATACCTCTATAGAAAGTGATGCCGCCATGAACAGCTCATTAAGAATGTATGTCACGCTCCATTAACTATATTTTACTGTCTTGACAGTAGAATCTGATTTATCGATTTTAACAAGTTTTGCTTTTCTCCTCTTTGCTGTAGTGTTCTTGCCCTTCTTCCTTTTCCTTTGAATGCTTCCTCCTTCTGTTCCTTCCATTTCTTCTGTTTTTAGTGCAGAGTGGGATGGTTTGGGGGCCGATGTCCAGTAAGGCCACAAGGCAGTAAGGTGTAAACTTTAATGTTTGTTTAATAGCATCCATGTTATGATCAATTGACACCTGTCAAAACAAGGCATCCGCTGACCAGTATCACGGAACCATATCGCAGGTTCAAGTTTACAGCTCATCAAGGTCACATGTTTTTTGAAGTTGACCGCTAACCAAGTGCTGGTTTTCAATTGGATTGCGGGCTCATGTCAGGTTAACCTGTTGAAAACAGGGCAGGATTGTTCGGAAGTGGGTTAATGCTAACCCAGGATTAAAAGTTAACTAAATTATAACTTTGTCTTCTATAGAAATGTTTTTTGCTGCTTTGTTTTGTGCATATGGTGATTATTAAAACTCAAAACAGAAGGCCAAACAATATAGTGAAAACCTCACTGAAAAGGTACAAGACTAAAATCAAAATTGTCACTTAACCTGGGTTATCTTAAACTTTGCATTTCACAGAATCTTTACATATCATCAGAAACTTCCATCGAAAATGTCATGAACGTATCCTTGTACATCTGTATAAACAGAACCTGAAAATGCTGTTTTGCAACAAACTTAAAACGCATTTCTGTTTATCTCATTTGATAAAGAGAGAATGATTAATGCTTTCATTAAGACAGTATTGCCTTGATTTTTCAATATTTCCAGTGTTCAATTTTCACCCACATTTACTGCCAACTATTTCTTGGTGAACCAGAAACAAAAATGAAAAATGTTTAAAACACATGACATTGTCCACCCTTGTCAAATGTAAAAGCATGATCGTTTCAATTGTAATGCCTTCTTATCCAAATGTTAGTTATGTTCCTTTGTTTCTTTGGTACCTTATTAGTGAACACTGAACTACTGCTCGTACTCTAAACATGAAAATCAACCACAATATTCCCTAAACCAGATAATATTAAACATAACCCCAAAAATATTTTAATTCATCTGTTCAATTCAGGAGTTTGCTCACAGAGCATTTTGATTTGACTCCATAAGAACATTCATGCAGGAATACAGCTGGCAATTTACAAGAGAGTACCCATCAGAGCTCTGTCGGGAGCCAGGTCTTACTGAAAGTACTGTAGCTCAGTTCAACAAATATCATTTGCTATCATCAAACTAAACTAGTGTGTTTGCAAGGATTCAAATTAAGAATAGAAACCTTTCGCTTTTCCTTAACGACTTATTTATTCCTCTTTCAATTGTGTATGTAAAAGAGACCATAAAGTTCATATGTAGCCAAACTTTCCCGATTTAGTGGCATTAAAACTTGTCGAATTGTAAATCTGTGACAAAAAAACCAGGCAAGTGTTCAAATGTTGCTGTAGACTTCATGGCATGTAATGAAAGCGCAAATTAATTTAATCCATCTTTGAGGGGACTCATGGTCAGCTGAGTGGCAGTGGCCTTCAACACTTCTCGAAACGCTAATGCTTCTCAGTTGTGTTAAACGATATCACTGAGGTGGCAACTGAATAAGAATGTGGATGTGGTATTCCATGGCAATTTGATAATTAAATTACTTCTTGTTTATTGGTGAAAAGAAAATCTCAATTTTGAATGAAACAAAATTGTTCTTCCCTTTCCTCGTGATATTTAACTTTCTTCCATTTCCTCAAGATATTTACTTTCTTCCATTTATCTCTAAAGTTTTTGAGAAAACAAGGGTTTTATGTTACACACCCTTGTGAGGAGAACAAAAGTCTCAAGTTAAGAGTGTGTCCATGAGAAAACCAGGCAGAACCAGGCAGGAGGTGATACAACTCAAATCACCAATTTCACTTAAACTGGCGAGTAAATGATCATTGGAAAAAATTAGGGTAAAATGTTTTCTATTTGAACTGCAGAGAAAGATATGAAGATATGACATGGCAGTTATATAAACAGCTTAAGCAGTTGTGAAATTAAAGCCTGAAAAAAATTCAGGCCTGAACAGGATTCGAACCCATGACCTTATATAACTGCAATGATCAATCATGTCTTAATATCTTTCTCTGCCATTCAAAAATCTATTCTTTCATCTATTCACTTGCATTCTTCACTGTCTACAGGTATATAACGAGCTCACAACATGATCAGCTCCCAGTTGGCTTGATAACTCAGTTGGTAGAGCACTGGATTGGTATCGCAGAGGTCATGGGTTCAAATCCTGTTGAGGCGTGAATTTTTTTCAGGCTTTAATTTCACAACTGCTTCAGTTGTTAATATAGCTGCAATGATCAAGCATGTCTTCATATCTTTCTCTGCAGTTCAAATATGTGATCTTTCATATATTCACTTGCAAAATGAAGTATTAAATAAACTCCACCACACATTATTTATTTCAAATGCAGAAATGAATACAGAGCTCGACATTGCAGTTATTTCTAATCAAAGGGCGCATGAATATGAAAGTGTCATAAAAATGCACGCAATCCGATAAAATAACCATAAAGCTTGTACACCAAAGAGGTGACAAATCTACAAACTGAAACGAAAACATGATATGGACAAGTTCAAAACTTAGGAAGACATACCCAAAATACTGCACTGGACTCCACTCAAAGTTGTAGAAAAGATCCACCGGACACAGTGACAGGAGGGTGCTGCAAAGTGTCAAATGCTGGGAATATATCCCTGTTATCATTACAGATCTATGTCATTCAACCATTCATCACTTAAGCTTTAATTCTGATGTGCAAGTCTGCTCGAGTTCTGTGTTTGAAGCATTTTGTAATGGGCATAAGAACAACATAATGCACATGTAAGTCTTCCTTAGGTCTTCCTTATACTTTTCAATGTAAATGGCTCTTTTGTTCCAGGAAGAGTGATCACTTCGCTTCCACCCGGGAAGGTGCTTTGCCTCTCTTTGGCTTTTGGGATAAAAAGACACTTGGACACTTGATTAGCTGAAGATTAACATAAACTTATACTGCACTTTGGGCAAAACTTGTGATCTGCTCTTCTCCGACCACCACAATTGTGACAAAACATGGTGGGCAACAGGACAAGCACAAAGATCAGGAGGCCCATGTGACCAGAGCTAGTCCTAGGTTGTGGTTGCTTTCAGGGTCTGGTTAGTTACCAGTACTTTGAAATCTTGTTGTGTTTCGCTTAATTTTCTTGTGTTTCAGTTTGCATTTGTGTATCAGACCGTTTTATTGTGTTTTGAAAAAGATTTTTGTGTATTAGAAAATTTCATTGTGTTCTGAAGTAAAATTAAGGAGCCCAATGAAAGATTGTAATTTAGTCAACTTAACCTACTTTCTTGGGAGAAAGTCCTGAATAAGCAAACAACATTTTGCAAGCTTATCCTCCGGAAGCCGGGCTTCCATTTTAAGTGTGTCTAATTCGATGCCCACAAAAGATAAAACAAAGCTGGGACCTACTGTTTTTTCAGGAGCCATGGGGACACCTATGTCATCACATGTCTGAAGGAATGTTCTTGAATTATTAGCACAAGATGAAAGAGATTTGCTGACGATAAGAAAATTGTCTACAAGGTGAAGAATCCCCACTATATGTAGTTTGGAGTAAGCCATGCATTCAAGGGCAGAGGTTTCAATCAACATGGCAAGGTTTCAATCAACATAAAATTTATCATGCCAGCAAATCCCAAGCAAATTGTAATGGGAAGGGCTGATCAGAATCAATCGAAAACCATTTCTGATATCAGTTTTTGCTAGCACACAGCCCCTGCCTGTGCACCAAACTAACCTAATTGCATCATCGATATTAGCATAATGAACACCAAACGCAATTTTTGGAATACGGGAATTAACGGAGTGCCCTTCTGGAAAAGACAAGTGATGAATTGGGCAGAATTCCGTGGGTAACTTTTTACCAATTAATCCAACGGAGAGATGTTAAATATTGAAAATGGCCAAGTATCAAATGGACCCACTATTCTGCCCAGCTGAATCTCTTTGTCAAGTTTGTCGTCAACAGCCTTAGGATTGGTAATGGCTGATAAAAGATTTTTAGACAAAAAATTCTGACAAGGTCCAACATAATCAATGAAAAAACCAAAACAAAAGCCTTTGAGTAAGTATTGCTTAGAGCAAGCGGGGTATCCCTCAAGGTACAACTGGAATTTATAAACGTTAATTGGTGTTGATAGTGGATGAGACAGGGCGGGAGGCAGCGGTGGATTTGTTAGATACAAATGGTCCTGCTGATTGGGACACATTTTTTGGTGGATTTTATTGCTCTTGGCTGGGAAATGTGCAGTGGTTTGCGGGATGTTGAGTCCCACATTTGAAACATTCATGTTTGAAGTTGCAGCCTGAACACTTCTCCCCCCTTGCAGGGGCCATTCTGTTCATGTGGTGCACCTGCAACCACAATTCCCAGTGAATTTGATCCCAGTAGAAAAGTGTTTTTTGTTGCAAGAAGCAGAAATTTTCATCATAACAGCGCCCGTGAGCGTTCTCAGCAGCATCTCATCTCAGCATCTCGTCGTCTCAACTTGTCATCTTGTCACTTCAACTTGTTGTCTCGCTGTGTCAACTTGTCATCTCGTCACGTCAACTCGCCGTATCGTCGTCTCAACTCGTCTTCTCATCACGTCAACTTGTCGTCTCATCATGCCAACTTGCCACCGCGTCACTTCGACTTGTCATCTTGTCGTGTCAACTCGTCATCTCGTCAGCTGCCATTTTAAATACCGAGAAGACCGTGGGACAGGAAAAACAAACTGCACAAGCTCAGGTACCCACGTGCGATTCCGCTGCGATTCTGCAAGATGGACGAGCTAAATGCAGTGAAAGACATTCTCAGAGACGTGCTTTCGCGTATAGATCAAATCCCTCTGCAGAATTCACAGAGCCAGAATCCTCAATCAAATGAAGAACACGAACTGCCTCCTTCTTCAAACAATACAAATGCTGGTTTCCTGGCTAGAGCGCAAAGTAACTTCAGGTAAGTTACCTGAAACTGATGAAGCTAAATTGTTTTCGTGTACAGGACCCTGAACAAACTGGCCGTCTCAATTTCTGAATGTTACGTTGCAAATACATCTTGCATGGAGGAGAGGTTGAAATACTGAAAGTAACCACATGTAGAAGTACAAGGCAAGGAAGTGTTTCGAACGGGAATCGATTCTCATAGTACAACACCGTTAATCCTAGAATTATGCCCCTTGGACTAAGCACTCCCCATCTTCTACTATATTTGAAACAAGCACCCCGGATGCTAAATTCGAGGATTTATGGTTACTTAATCACAGACTAATACAGATCAGTCGATGCGTAACGTGACTGACTTAGTGAATTAATTCTGTAGGAAATAATTGAATAATGTAGCTACTGTATGTCAGTCAATGTTGGAATCAAAGCTGAAAGTCTAGTGGCAAGACTGCAGTTTAATTTTATTTCTCTTTATGAATTAATTCATAGAAGTGAAATTCCTCCAGAGTTGATATGATTGTATTCTATAATACACATAATCATGCATAATGATATTAACTGAACATAATTTCTAATCTGACAGGACAGCCTTCCCACATCTTTATGTTAGACGTGCATGTCCACTTTCCCAGCCTTTAGATGGTAGAAGCCAGGCTACAAGGCCCAAAAAGGAGGCAAAGTATGTGCCATTTTTTGTGAAAGACATCTGGACGAAAGAATTCTTGGTTTTGTCATCTCCTAGAGATGACAAAATGCCACGGGCTGAATGTCTGCAAGTTTTACAAGCAGCAGGACTGGGTAAAAAGAAAGTTGTGTTTAAAGACAAAAATGGAAACTTTGATCACTTGAAAAGCACTCTGGAAGAGCATTTCCCCAAATTAAAGTCCCAGAATGGTGCTTTTGAGCTACTAAGAGCAGACAAAGGTGGAAATTCACATCCTCTTATTAACATTCACATGTCCAGCACTGGGTACACAATAAAGCAGCTGAAAGAAGTTGTCCCTGGCAGTACTGTAATTTATGTTAGACCAATCCAGAGTGACCTGGATATGATAGTTGTCCAGAACGAAGATGGTGAGAAAGCATACACTCAGTGTGTAAATTGCCATGAAAGTGTACTGTTGGTTGGAATCAAAGAGCATGCAGATTTGTGTAATGGTGGAAATTCAAGTTCCGCAACTGACTTTCTCACAGAAACTAAAACCCAGACAGAAACCTTGAGCTCGGCAGGAACACTTCAAGGATAAGTTGGCATGATATTTTCTTTGGATATTTTTGAAATTTAAAATGGCCAGTCAGTTAGTTGCAGGTCTTTTGTACTACTGAGAATCACAATGTTTCAGTATATCACACACTGGAAACACTAGTGAAACTAAAGAAAGTCTTACTCTAAAATTGCTGAGCTGAAACAGTTCTAAGGCATGTAAAAAAATAAGGAATGATTGGTAAAATTCACTATAGCCCTCAAAATAATTAAAGTAGCAATATTTTTATATTTTTTTTTTGTAAGAAGAGGTATGTTAATAGCCAATCCTGCTGGTTGAGGCAAGTTTTGTATTACTATTTAGGAGCCCGTCCTTTTAGTTGAAATATATATTCAATACAGGTTTTATCTCTATTTCCAGCAAATTAACTGTGGAAGCCTCCTTTGAAAGAAGTGTATCAGCAACCATAGGTATCATCCAACAAGTATTTCCAGATCTTCCTTTGGCTGCTGCTCAGCATGCACTGAAAGTGGCTAATGGAGATACTAACAGAGCAGTGGAGTTCCTGTTAAATGATAATGGTGAGGAGTGCTTTTTAGTTGATACAGTGCACGTACCATATTTTCTACATTTAATGTCCAGTCTCTAGTAAGTGTCCCTGTGGTGTCATGGAAACAAACCACCAACTGCTCACCAGTGGAAAGAAGTTAGAACTAGAGCATGCAATAAGAGAAGGTTTAGTGTACTTCACATATATTGCCAAAGACAATAATGATGCGTTAGTTCAGTTACATGTAACTTGACATGTAACTAGAGGTGGCTTGTTCAGCTAAAAGCTTAAGCAGGTTAAAAGATAAACATAAAGATACAGTGATGCAGTTGATAGCATTCTATTCTTGGGTTGCAGAGATACCAGAAGATGATAAAAGCAATTCAGCCTTGTTACATGAAGAAACATTTCCAAATGAAGGTACACCACATTTTCTTCTTTTCAGTTACTGATTCTGTTTTTTGACAACTTCAACATCCCTATCTAAATTATGGCAAGTTTAACAGTCTTATGTCTGTTTGACAATCTGTATTTCTGATGTACATGTATATATTTTGAATCAGAAACAGCATCCTTTGGAGAATACCTTACTGCAACTGAAGTACTAAGCCAGTACAGGACACAGATTGTCAGAGGAACTGAATTTATAGACTTTGACAGAACCAAAATGTCCACACTGGGACAACTGATGTGTATTTATAAATGACCAGGAATTGAGTTGAAAAAGAATCCAGATGTCCATTTTGTTGGGGAGTGTGGTGCAGATGTAGGAGGTCCAACAAAATAATTTTTTCACACTGCCTTAGCATCATTGAACAAGGTAGATGCTATATACAATTTCCAGTTATTCACCGGTGAGCATGGCCACCTAGTTCCCTTGCATGGTCCAGATGTTCATTCAAGTGGTTGTTTTGAGATGGCAAGAAAATTACTTGCACACAGTGTGCTCCAGGGCGGAGGGGGTATGGACGGTCTGGCTCCAGCTATTGTCGAGTATCTATCAACTGGCTCTCTTGAAGAGGCTTCAAAGCTTGTTACTTCTGCTGACCTTGCAGATGTTGACTTGCGCATGCTCATTGAAGAAAAGGTATAATCTATGTAGCCATGAAATTAAAATATTACTTTTTTGTGCCTGGACACAAGTATATTATCAAGTTTTCATTTTCCAAACATTTGAGTATGCAACTTTGTTTGATTGCTTTTTAACCAGTGATATAGAATTACTGTTCAATTGTAAGAGAAATAAAATATTGTAGTTTTTGGGATTTGAATCCACATTCCTCTGAATACAGGAAGCGTGTGATTACTAATTACACTATTGGGACAGCCACCCTAGGAATGTGGTAATTTTCTGCATGCATGCACATGGGAATCCTGGGATTCCTTCATTGCACCATTAAAAAGTTACAGAATCAAGAAGTCTAAAATATGGACCCATGTTTTACGTCTATGGAACAGACGGGTTTGAGAAGTTAACTCCTGAGGAGAAAGATAAACTGGAAGAGTTGCTTGTGCGTTGTGGGTTGACCACACACGTGCCACTTACTGCCCTGAACATTGATTTAGTAGTAAAAGACCTCCTAGTGGCTGAGGTGATTGTAATGAGGACCCTCCCACTGGATGCACCTTTGAAAGGAATAAATGTATTAGGTCTCAGAGAACTGTTACGCAAGTACCCCAGTGCAGTTAGCAAGATTTTTCCATCTGTCCAAGATGCAGTAGTCAGTGCTGATATATTTCTACACAAGGTTACTTTAGCTGATGAGGAAGTGAAGAACAATGAACCGGAAGAGGTTTGGTTCCAGAGGTTTGTTGAGGAATCAGGAAACCAAAAAGGCAAGTAGGAGAAAATGGCAGGTGCCGATGGCAAAAATTGCATTACTGGTACCCTCTTTGTCCCCCGATTCTTCATGAAGTTTTTATGATACTACCTGTGGGAGAAATTATGTTTGAGTCTAGGCATTTGAGGTAAATGTTATAAACAATCAAAGCCAAGTTGATGATTAGTTGTCATGGCCTACACAACATTCTCTTACTAATAGGCCCTTTGCACGATCCGGTCACCTGGTACAGAATTAATTATGCTGGGACGCAAGTTGCACAGTGGGACTTCCAAACCAAAGGAAAGTCGGGCTGGACTGGTACAAGTTTCTTTGTTTGGGAAATCCCACTGTGTAACTTGCATCCCAGCCTAATTAATTCCATACCATGTGACTGGATCGTCCAAGGGGCGTATCCCTAACTTCATTCTAATATTTCTCCTTATACCATTTTCATAGTTCAGTCTTCAGGTTAAAAATAATTGAATATTTTCTAACAAACCTTCTGTAATTTAAAGTCCAGACATCAACTCAGGACAGGCTTTCCCAAACAAGGTCATACATGTAGGTGATAATTGGAATAAAGGTGAAAAACAATATTGCCAAACAGACACAATCTACATTTAGCAGCCCGGTCATTTTTTTATGCTGTAATGCTCAGCACCTTCCATTTTTAAATTTCACAGTCTGGAGAACCATTCTTGAAGAAACTGGTGTTATTTATAACAGGGCAGCCAACCTTATATCCAGAGACCAACATTGATGTTGGATTTATGAACAACCCATCAAAAAAGCTGATGGAAGCTGACTCCTGTTTCAACAAAGTGTATATACCAGTTACCCATCCAACATATGAAGATTTTAAAAAGTCTCTCACCACCTCTGTATGTTATGGTGGAGTTGGATATGGAAGATTTTAATTAGCCCTCACATGTTGTTCCCTTTCCTTCTTAACATCCAAACTTTTAATGAAAGGAAGTTCTCTTGTTGGGTTACTATTCAAGCTTCAGATTGTAATTACAGAAGAACATGTTTGGTATCAGTAAGTATCAACATCAACAGACAGTTGTTTTTTGAAAGGTGGTAATGATCTGTGGACATGTGTACTGACAGGTAGCTGTCAAGTCCACCTTACTCGTATAGGTTTGTCAATAAATAAATAAACTGCATAATTTACATTAACATTTCTTGACCTCCGAATTAGGTTCCAAAGTTGTCACTTGATGTATGAAGTTTTGTACTGATTTATTTACTTGACAAACCAAGGAAATCTTTAGCCTGATTGCACATACACATGTTATATCATAATCCATTAAATATTTTTCCTTGCAAGTGATTAGTCTTTATTTGTCATGTGACTGAATGCAATCCAGCTAAAACTGGAGAATATCCAAATAGTATTTTCCATTTTTCATAAGATCTTACATGACACAGAAAATATTTGAAGGATAATAAACACAATAGCACCCATTACATATTTGTCCTTGGACATTATCTGTTCTGCAAAGCTCAGTCTTCCTCGTGCTTTGCTATTGGAAAAATGGTTGCTTCTCGACACAGATAATGTCAATGGACAAATATTATTTGAGTATATTTTCACACCAAACAGATGCTATTGTTTATACAACATAAATTACATTTAGGCATCCCTGTTTTCATTTTCAGTACTATGGTAGAAGGCTACACAAGCAGTCAACAACTTGTAAATATATGTCAATTCCAAAACTTTGGCTGTCAGCCAAAGGGTTGAACTGCATCAGGTGATGATGAATCTGATTTGAAGGAATTGAAAGGTGAACATCCGGAACTTCTAATGCATCTCCAACCACGGAATCTCTGCTCCATGCTTGGTTGGGCAATGGCCCATCATAGTCAATGCCAAAGTGATCAATTTCATGCTGGAGAAATAAATAAGTACTTAAGTTAGCCACATTTAATGAACAAAATCCCCCTATGGAACTTACAAGAATACCAATTAGGGTTCATCCTGCAATATCATTTCTTACCTGTTCCAGATGGACATCCAGTAGCTCATGTCGAAGACCCCACACCCAGAGTTGAGCAGGAAACATATTGCCCTCGGTTGATGGTGGATGATGATTCCATCCCTCAGTAAAAGCCTTCAGACTACTGTTGATCCTCTCTTTGAAAACATATCTTAGGGCAAACAAATGAACATCATTTCCTATGTCTAATATACCCTCACTTTCCATGTAGTCAAAGAGGCTGTGAAATATATACAGACAACCACTAAACACATCTTTCCACAGTCTTTCTATACGTTGATTGTGGCAACTCCTTCCAGCGATGAAACTTCCTCTATCAGGACCAGGCAGATGATGGGTGAACATGTACCATGCAACATCCACATTTTCAACACCTTTGTCACCACGAACTCTGGATGGCAATCCAAAAACCTCTACTGCACCAAGAAATAGTTTGAGTACTGTCTGAGCTCTGTTGTTGCAATCACATTCAAGGAAAGTAATCTGGCATGAATATCCATCGATGCCACCATGGACAACAAAGCCCCATCTGCAAAATCACAATCAAGTTTACTTAATGTACATGAATCAGTCAATTTCAATATGTTGTAGAAACTGCAGTCAGTCTGTGCTAAGGAGTACTTTTCAGACTATTCTCATATGGATGATCACAGTACATCCAGAGCAGCTTTACACATAAACTTTACACAGTTTTTGTTTTCATCCTCAAATGGGTTTAATGTTAATGGGTTCAAACAGATTCATTTTTTAGCAACTTTTGGTAAATATAAATTTCTATTATACACTGAGTAGTAACAAACCTTATGAGCTTATGATTCCCATCGATGTGCCACAGGGATAATGGTGATCTGACATTATAAATTCATCTTTCCACAGCAGTAAGTTGAAGGGCACGCATGAGAATTCCTTCTGGACACACGTCTCATGCTGTCTTGAATCCGACTCCACGGAATATGCAGTCCTCTCGCTCTCAAAAAGCCACCCATCTTTTGGTAACCACAATTGGGAAACATTCTCAAAATATCAAAGCTAAAAAAAAATTAGAAAAGAGAACTCTTCTCAAATTTCAATTACATTGCATCCTGTAGTCCCCTTCATCAAACAAATGCAGTCACCTCATGCAACAACGATCAATAAATCACCCTAGCATGAGAACTGATAAAACCAATTATCATTAAATTTACTTTGCTGACCTATTCAATTGATGTTGAGCCCATTATATGATGTGCAAATAACAGTGTACAACCCTTTGCAAGTCCTATAGAATGCCAACTTGATTTCCATGACCTTGGATGCAGCAGTTTTGAGTTATTAATTGAAAACACAAACTTACTGTTTGAATGATAAAACAATTACTGAACTGTTTTTCATAAAATATCCTTATTGGTCAGAAGTGAGCAGAACTGATAAAAATATGAAACTGGGCTACCAAAGATACATAAGCTTAAAGGGGAACTGACCCAAATGATGTTCAGGAAGGGGTTAATTTTGAAATAGTTCTCAAAAAAGGAAGTTTAGAAATATTAATACTCACATCTGATCGTCGAGCTCGTCCATCAAATGTACAAAGTTGACCTTCCTCAAGTCATACTCTGCTATTTGCCTTTGAATAGTCTTGCTTGACATGCCAAATATTTCCCCTATTTTTGCCAAGGGAAACTGGTAGTCTAAATATAACTGAAGCAGATGTTCAGGAATATGAACAGCTGATCTTCCACGACAACCTGTTGATGTAAATAAGGAAATATCTTTGTTTCCAGTAGCCAAGGACTTCAGGGAATCATGTGCCCCTCTTAAGATGTCCACCATTACCATGGGAATATTATACAGGGCGAGGCTCTCTGGGCTAGGTTCTGAATTCTGTCCACCTGAACGCAAAGATAATCAATCCCATCCATGTCCTCGTGGAGCCTATCATTTAGCCGGTCTAATACATTTTCAATGCTCATTCACAAGCATTCCTTTAGCTCCTCCACAGCAGCCATCTTTGAATGTTGAAAGACTTAAACACCCAGGCCTCCTCTGAAAAGCATTGACAAGTTGAAAACACAACACGACGACAATGCGGCAAGTTGACACGATGAGATGACAAGTTGACACAAGACCACGAGTTGAAAACACAACATGACAAGACGACAAGTTGACGTGACGAGAAGACGAGTTGAGACGACGATATGGTGAGTTGACACGATGAGATGACAAGTTGAAGTGACAAGACGACGAGATGAAAATTTTGTCCACGATTTGACGCCATAAGACTCATTTTCAGTGACATCACATTGGCAGGTCAAACCAGGTTCCTTTGCCTCGTTCTGTTCGTTCACCACGTTATCTCCAGGGTTGGCGGTGGAGCAACTGATGTCTTGTTTTCAGTGACATCATATTGGAAGGGTCCTTTGTTTTGGCTCTGATCTGTTCATCTTAAAGGTTGGCGGCATGCTCTTGGGGGCTTCTTTCCGGCTCTTTTTTCACATTGTTGGCCTCAGAGCTTTAACCAGCTGTGCCTGTTTGGACTGTTGGAAGTGAAGTCCACTCACTACTGAGTACGAAAAGAGTGCCTTTATCATACTCTAGCAGACAGTTGTCAACTTCCTCCTCATATAAAAAGCATTCTTCCTTTAGACGTATCTTTTCTTACCTGATGAAATTAATTTCAAGACATTTGTAACATGACCAAGGTAAGATACAGTGAGCTTAGAAGAGTGGGTTGCTTTGGTGGTTGCCGCACAAGCTTTGATAGGGAGTATCAGCACAGCGTCAATAATTCATACTTCTCCTTCCTGACTGATTTTTAAATGTCAAATTTTCAAGATAAACTCTCTAAATTCAACTAAATTCTTTTTTAAGAGTAAATTTGTTACGCCTACAGCTGAATGAAGGATAAAAGAAGCCAGTCTAAAAAAACATACAATACAACTCATTTATAACCTTCCATTTAATGTCACCAAAGACACTAGACTCGCCATTTTCCAATACAAAATAATTCATCACATGTTACCCACAAATTTGACACTTTTTAGATTCAATCAAAGAACATGATAAATGCCACCTCCATGGAGAAAGACAAACATTACCCATCTGAAGCTCGGCTTTTTTGGTCTCTCTTTAATAATTGGTTGAACTCCAAAAATGGAGATACGATCACCTCAATAAAAATGAAATAATATATGGCATGACATAACTTTGCTCGTTATCTTGGCTTAAACCTCTGCATGATTATAGCTAAATATTATTTATACACAGCCTCAAGAAAAGAAGAGTTATATTTCGATGCCTTCTTAGCAATTTTGACAAACAAAATTAAAATTGAGAAACATAAATCCAAGTGTTGGATATCCAATACTATTGCAAGTTGGAGTAGGCTCAGAAGGTTCCTGTTTCCGCAGTTCGACTTAGGAATTGGCTCAGTCTTGATGGATTGCAAACAACTTTAATGACGAGAACATCAACATGCCACCATCTTGTGAAGGCGTGCTCGTGAAACTTACAGTTCCATAATGCATTGCAATCTTAAAGCGTGACACCATGTCACGATATCCGTGACACTCCCCCCTGTTGACCAGAAATAAAAACCTAGGTAGACTAATCTGGTCAACACATTCCCTTACATCATTTTAACAAAGGCAAACAACAACAGTAAAGTGTTCTAAGTTCAATGTCACTTAAGTACTCCTTAATTTAGATTCTCCAGCCATGTTTTTCTCCTCCGGTCCGCTTCTACAGCAGCTGCCTTCTTGGGCAGTCACATGTTGGCTCAAGAGGTTGCTCAGCTCGAACACCACCGGCGGTGGGGACAGGATCTGTCCTTCTGGAACTCCCTGCAGTTTCCGGCTCATCATCCTTGCACTGGACCTCCAAGGGGTAAAGGCGCTGCACTGGACGTCTGAGCGTAGAGGTTCTTCCTCTCTTGCTTTTAACTCGAACAACAGCTCCTCTGACACAGCCATCAGATCCTGTGACAAGACTTTCAACCTTTCCAATCCTCCACTTTCCTCTTGGCTGATTTTCATCATGAACGATAACCACATCTCCAATGGACACAACTCAGTCCGTGGTTCTCTGGGTAGCATTACGATGGGAGTTCCGTAACTCCAGCAAATACTTGCTCCTCCATCTCTTCCATGGTTAATTACATTCTTCAACTGATGCATTCGTTTGTTCAGATCCTTAGGCTGAACATCTGTGTCACTTTGCTCGGTGTCTGAACTGTTGTCTGGTAGGCTCATCAGTCGTCTTCCACACAGAAGATGTGAGGGTGTGAGGGGTTCTTCAAAATCCTCACTTGACACAAATGACAGCGGTCACCAAACGACTTCATGAATTAAAATCGCGCCATTCTATCTACTGTAAATTTGATCTGTATACAGTGGTCACCCAGCAATTTTCCAAGGGTGACCATTATATACAG